CTTTTTATTATTATTATTATTATTTAAAAAAAAATCATACATTCTTGTATTGTTTTTCAGTTTTGCACCAAGGGAGGGTAAAACATTACAAGCTCCAGAAACAGGATGATAACTACTTCCTTTCTAGGAACAAGTCCTTCCCAACACTGAAGGCGTTTGTGGAATATTACTCCAGACAGTCTGATGTGCTGTGTGTCTGTCTGGGGGAGCCATGCAGAAAGGTAAACTGTAGCATGCAGGAACATGGATCCTTTTTCCTTTTATTTCATTGTTAACTTTTATGTTGTGCAGATGGAGGATCCACAGACCTATGGTCTGGCCTGCAACACAGCGGATCCGTGGGAGATTGATCGCAGTTCTATCAAACTACTAAGGAAAATTATAGACGGACTGTTGGATGAGGTCTTTGAGGGGGTGCTGAATGGTACTACACCAGTCGCAGTGAAGACACGAAAACCTGGTATGGGATAATAATCACACATTTATATAATTATGGACCATTGTTAAGCTACATACTTGAAGTATACTGACAAGGTTATTTTAGATTTTATGATAAAAAAAAAAAACCTTTTTATCATAAAAAAAAAAAAATAGATTAAATGGCAGAGGGGCGACAGTGGCGTTGAATGCAGGAGTTTGGCCTGCCCTGGGTTTGGCTTTCATTGTCGTTGTCTGTAGGACAGACACTGCATCCGCATGGGTGTCAAAGGGCCCGGTGACGTTTGTTTATTGCAGCCAAGGTTCCGCCAGTGAGCCCCGGGCAGCTGTGGCTACAGCTTAGAACAAACAAGGAATCAGGGAAACAACAGAAGAATAGAAGAGCATTCAACCCAAAGCAGATAGACTTGGAAACAGCATCTTTCCCAAAGCCATGAAGCCAGTCTTCCCCCTGCCTCTGACACTCAAATTGCATTTCACATTTACATAGATACACACACTACTACCGTACTTATACAAATACAAGATCACATAAACAACAATGCAGCAAAATAAATAGACCACAAGTTTAATTCAAAGATGTTGCATTTCATTTAAATAACATTTGCTACATTTCTATTTGGAATACCCTTTCCAAATAGAAAAATAACTAACTGGAGGGTTATACAGGTTTAAATTACAATGGACCGTGCCCACATAACTTTTCATCTACACACCAACATGAAGTAGAGTAGGGCTTCTGCATCGATAAAGTTTAAGTGATCGATTAGTGTTCCAAACTTTTCAAAGAAGGCTCATTTTAATATTTTAGCTGGTATAGCACAGCTCGGACTGGTACACATTGTATATTGGATTCCAAGGATGTTTATATCTTTTACATGTATTTCTAATTTTCTTATTAATGTTGTTTAATATTTATTACTTTTTGTTTTAATTTAATTTTTTATTTTATTTTTATTTTTGAGAGTCTCATCTAAGTATGCTGGTATTTCTTTTGTTTGTAGCTGTCTTCTTTGCTTCTTCTTTTTCCAAGCTTACTATTTATCTAAAAGACATAAGATATGTTAACTGTTAAATGGAAAATTCCATGTTTGTCAGAGGTTTCATCAGCTGTTGTTCATGAATTGTTGGCTAAATTTTAAACAGGTGTTTCTGATAACAGAATGAGCAAAAAGAGGCTATATCTAGGGTGACCAGATTTGGTTTCCTGAAAAGGAGGACGGGGGAAGCTGGTGTCCAGACTAACGTCACTGCAAGGG